AAAAAATAGTTACACTGGCCACGTATGGTGGCTCACACCTGTAATCCCAGCACTTTGGGAAGCCAAAGTGAGAGGATGGCTTGAGTACAGGAATTTGAGACCAGCCTGGGCAACATAGTGAAACCCCATTTGTACAAAAAAAAAAAAGGACTAAACATATTCCCAAATAAAATACCGCAATTATACAATAATTCATTGAAGGATTCCTTTTAGGTATTAAGCTTCTCTAGTACATTTAAAGACTGTTTAGCCAGCCATGGTGGCTCACACCTGTAATCCTAGCACTTTGGGAGGCCAATGTGGGTGTATCCCTATAGGCCAGGAGTTCGAGACCAGCCTGGCCAACATGACAAAACCCCATCTCTACTAAAAATATGAAAAATTAGCTCAGTGTGGTGGTATGCTCCTGTAATCTCAGCTACTCAGGAGACTGAGGCAAGAGAATCGCTTGAACCCGGGAGGCACTGGTTGCAGTGAGCCAAGATCACACCACTGCATTTCAGCCTGCGCAACATAGTAAGACTCTGTCTCACAGTAAAAAAAAAAAAAAAAAAAAAAAAAAATAGCCAGGTGTGATGCCACATGCCTGTGGTCTCAGCTACTCAGGAGGCTGAGGTGAAAGAATCACCTGAGCCCAGAAGGTCGAGGCTGCAGCGAGTCAAAATTGTGCCACTGTACTCCAGACTGGGCAAATCAGAGTGAGGCCATCTCAAAAAAAAAGAAAAAGAAAATGACAACGAGAGTTGGCAATGAAAAGAAAATCATTATTTCACAAAATATAATGTTGGAAAGCTCATGTTGGTCTCCAAGAAGTGTTTTATTTTATTTTATTTTTATTTATTTATTTTGAGATGGAGTTTCACTCTTGTTATCCAGGATGGAGCACAATGGCATGATCTCGGCTCACTGCAACCTCCACCTCCCAGGTTCAAGTGATTCTCCTGCCTCAGCCTCCCCAGTAGCTGGGATTACAGGCATGCGCCACCACCCCTGGCTAATTCTGTTTT